TTTTTCCCATACTCAAAATGAAACGCATACTTTTTAGAGCTACTTCCCACCATATTAACATAACAAAAATGTTTGAAAATGTTTTTTATTTTGTGTGTATCTCAGTGTCAATTAATGATAAAATCTTGATTTTTTTTTACAAATTTGCTGTCGAAAGCTCTATAAAATGTATATAAAGAATGTTCGTTTGACTTTCTTTCCTGATCTTTTTCTAGGTAGTTAAAATTGACGATGTTAATGTTTTCCCTTCTATCGAGTATGACAGAAACGTTGCAAACGCTATTAAAACCAATTCTTTATTTGAAAACAAAATTTCATAGCCAAATAATAGAACGTTAGGATGCTACAATAAAACTTCATAAGTATCGAGACTGTTCATCGATAATCAGCCCATCGTTATGTTTTGCAACCGAATAAACTCTTCGAAGAAATGCACCAATAACCTGTCGTACATAATCCATGTCAATGCTTTTCCAAGATTTCATAATTTCTTTTTCTAAATCATCTTTCGTTTGAACTTTTTCATAATCAATGTTCTTATTAATACTGTCCCAGATGGAATAATCTAATGGATTTAATTCTGGTGAGTTTGGAGGCCATCGATCTTTCGAAAATGAACGACTTTAGATGTTTTTTGTACCAGTCTGGTGATGTTTTACTAGTATGAGATATTGCTCCATCTTGTTGCAGACACCAATTTTGATCTCCAAATAATCGATCACCTTCGACCTTGTAAAATGATAGTAATTTTCTACTATACATTTCACCATTTAAATGTTCATCCGTTTCAAAAAAGTAAGGAGTCGTCAATCCATTCCATGTAGCACCCCTTGCAACCATAAATAAAACAGGAAATTTTTCTTTTGCATAAATTCCATTGTCCACATCTGCTTCTGATTTACTGTTCGCCCATATAACATCATTTTTTGATTTTAAATAGCCATTTCGATTAAAAATTTTTTCATCCGTAAACATCATTTTGAGTACGTCTTCACGTTTGAACTTCTTTCTAATCCATGAACAGCATCGCTTTCGAAGTGACTGTTGGTAATCCTCAAGTTTCTGAACAGATGTTCTTCGGTAACATTTCTTCTTTAAATCTTCCTTGAGTACTCTTTCAACAGTTGACCGGCTGCTCTGGAAATCTTTTGACATCATTCGTAAACTTTTTCTACTATTCTGTGATGCAAGTCGTTTTTTCACCAAATTAATTAACCCTTTTGTTCTTCCATTTCTTCTTCTGTCTGTTGATTTTCCTGCAGAAAATGAACCGATTCGTTCGTATAGCCGTATTCAACGAAGAACTGTAGTACGATGAACCTTATTTGCCAAAAAAATGCGATTTCTGTTGCTGTTTTCCCGTTTTTATAATGAGTAACAGCAATATCACGTAGATCTTCGCTTTTAGCCATTGATAAAATTTAAATCAAACTTTATTTCTTTCTTCCTTTTTTTTGTAAAATACACTATAAAGCTAAACACAAACGTCTCTATACATGTAAAGAGGACGGCCAGATATGAGAGAAAACGAAAAAAAGACGAAAGAAAAGAAAGAAAAACAGAGAAAGAGAAGAGACGAACGGGAAGAATACAGGCATAGACGTCCATATGATCTAGTGTTATTAACACAGATCGTAACAACCATTTGGAAAAAAGTCAAATGAACTTTCTTTATATACATTTTACAGAGCTTTCGACAGCAAATTTAAAAAAAAATCAAGATTTTATCATTAATTGACACTGAGATACACACCAGAGATGAGCACAGGACAGGACGCGATTTTGATTTTTGTCCTGTTCTGCCGCCCGCCAGGACAAAAATAGCGATTAGAACAGGACAGAAAAATTTCTCGTGTGAACTTTTTTGTTCTATTGTTGTTCATATTTTTTTAAACGACTACCATTTTCGACGCGTCACTTTTTAACACTCGGCATATGTGATAAGTGATAGATATCGCTATTAGAATGAATCATAACACTAATTCAAATATTCGTTGAAAAAAAGCTACCAATTAGATATAATCATCAATGATTCAGAAATTTTCAGTCACAATACAAAGAGAAAGCAACACAAAACAAGTGTTCTTTGTTCTTTTCACCTTGAATGTTTTTTATTTTCCTTTGTATTTTATTTGTTTCGATTTATTGAATCTCAAAATAAATATTCAGCATGAGCAGTAATAAAATTTCATCATCGTCGAACACATTAAATTCCTCAAAAATTAAACAATTACTTAAATACGAAACAAATAAATATAGTGCTATAAAAAAAGAATCCTCAACACCATTAATAGGTTGGTCGGAAGTCTTTGTTTATCCAGGAAAATTAGCTGAACATGGTGTATTTCAAAGAATGTTGGGATATATTAGTTGTTTCAATTGTTATAGTACATTTATTTATGACAATAGTTGTTTTTTGTGATAAAAGTCTATGTTGTTGTTACTTTTCACAGATAATTTCTAGTATAAAAGAAGATAATCATGTTACAATCAATCATGTTCATTTTTGTATTTTTTTCTTGTCATGAATGTGCCATCAAGATATAAAATTAAGATTTTATTATATTTTGTTGCATTTATTAAATAAGTGATGATCTCGAGTGTATTCCTTGTATTTGAGGATGGTAAACAATAAATTAGGTCTAACGTAAGTAATGGTAATATTTACTTTGATCAACGATAATCAGATTAAGAACTCTGGTGATCGACTCTCTGTCGCTCGAAAAAAATGGAATGAATTAGCAAAACAAATTAGAACAAAGTTTTCATGTATTATCCTATCACCCGTCAAGACACAACAAGTCAGCAGGACAAAACAGGACAGGACGCAATTTTGATTTTTTGTCCTGTTCTGTCACTCGCCAGGACTGAGCTGGCTAGCAGGACAGGACGAAAAATCTTGTTCTGTGCTAATCTCTGATACACACAAAATAAAAAACATTTTCAAACATTTTTGTTATGTTAATATGGTAGGAAGTAGCTCTAAAAAGTATGCGTTTCATTTTGAGTATGGGAAAAATCATTAGAACAGGTTAGCAGGAATTTGTTCCGATATTTTTTGTAGAGCTTTTCACGGCGCATCTTTTAAAAAAATTTAAGATTTTTCTCATTTATCCATGCTGAGATATATGCAAAATAAAAAAGTGTGCAAACATTTTGGGACACCCAGTATGTTTGGATGTGGAGTAAGGTTTGTTATTGTCCGACGTAAGAGAACAAACTAACTCATATCATTATCCGATTAAAGAAGATAAGTCAAGCTTCTTCATTTTGTGATGAAAGAAAATAAAGAGGCATTGATCAATGTTTGACGAAAAGGATAGACTGACACTCACTGTGTTTCTACTACATATGGAGAAAAAAGAACGATTATCGTGACACTCGTCAAAATAAAGAAACGAATTATTGGCGGCACAGTCAAATGAGAGAAAATAGCCAACATTTTGTGCCATTGAAGAATATAGAATAACAAAAGATAATGCATTTGCTGATTGAGACATACATACACATAAAACAAGCACTTTAATACTGAATATCTTATATGTTAAAATATCTGGCGATAAACTGAAACTTGGATCGCTCAGTTCATTTGTTACTGGTACGAAAACGACGATGATCACACCATCTTCGTCTGAACACACTGAAACCAATCAGTCTGAACTTATTACGCTTGAATTTGCTGAAACTATTGATGCTGAATTCGAAGAACCAAACAATATCAATTCTTCTGATATGAACCAAAACTTAAATGTTATCGACTCTCATCCAAGCACTCACGAAAACGATATCGGCTTTCAACTGTGTCCTTACGGACTACTTTTACCAATGAAACTAAATATCGGCTTCTTACAAAACCATTTTGACCTGACAACAAGTAGAAATTTCCAAATCAACATGAAAAAGATCAATCGATTCGTCGATTCATAGCTAATTGGTTAAACTAGCACTCATCTCTCGTCTACTCACCATACTATGAGGGAGTATATTGCTCTGCTTGCTCTCTGTTTTCACCTTTGGCTTCAAATCAATCTCGTGCCCTTTTCGTTAATTACCCATCTTCTCAATTTCGCCACTTAAAACATTTCTTGAAATATATTAAAATTCATCTTAATTCGAAAACCCACAAGTTGGCTATGGCACGCGCCATCGAATTCGTTCAGATGTTCGGAAATCCATCTTCTAGTATAGACTATCAATTGAATTTATCTCTAAATGAAGAATGACTAATTTCTCTTTAATAAACAACGGCATCTGTAATGCGAATGATTTTTTAAAAAATTATTGCCCACCAGCTTTTACAATTGCCCATCGCTGCCACCTATTCCAAATAATTTAGTTGGTGAATTGCCATCTACTTAAAAAATCCTGACTACGCCACTGAAATCTACACTATACGATCTCAAAGGTATCAAGCAGCATAAATATAAATCATGGCCTTCTTAACATCTACGTCAGAATAAATAACTATTACAAACGGTGCAGAGTAATCATAATCCATGTTGCAAACTATCCCGATCCTAATATTTCCAAATTATGAAGCAGTTGCATTCCACATACTGTTTCTTTAAGTCAGTCAAAATTACTAGAACTCTAAGCTTCCTTCTATATAAGCTATCTGAACATTTTCACCTACTTTATTTATCCATCATCAACGCATTACTCTACATGAAGCAATGACAAATCCCAAAGAATAACAATTCCATCATCTTCTCAGCATGCGACACATGATCAAATGAGGAACCAGCAGGACTGAGCGACTCACCATGCCTTCCAACTACAAATATTTTAGCTGCCCCTACCAAAACTTTTGATACCTGCCCTTTATCCATTACGACAACATCGCTCCCTCTCCTGGTCTTTAAACCCCACCCCCTGATGGACAAATATAAATCTATCGATAATTTCGTCAGGCCTACTGAGCCACAACCGTAGTTCAAAACAATAGCTCCACCACTGCACATGTCAGGAATAAAATTTATCAACATTTATT